GCATGTATTTTTTGCAGCCGAAAAATGTATGCCAAGGCTTAAAGCAGCAACAACGCTACACATAAAAACTGATGATGGTGGAAAAATACACCGAAACGTATTTTGATTGATAAATAAAGACAATAAATGACTGAAACCCTATATAATATGTTCATTCATTTTTTTTGCTTATCCTATATCTTAAATTGTGGTCCAGTCCAAAAAATTATTCAATCCGAATCACCAACTACAAAATATTCACAGAAAATGTTTTCGTGTTAAATTAGGGATTTTAAGCTAAAAATCTTTTCCAAGGGAAAACTGCTGAACGTTCCTTTGCTTGATTGACTGTGTTAATGTTTTCAAGTTTTCAACACTTTCTACCATTTGTAACCAAAGAAAAGCAAATTTTTCCCTCAACTACTCGACTTTGAGTGTCTTTTCCCCAATAAAAACTCCACCCTGAATGAGCAAAAAACCGCCATAATACGGTTTACTATTTTTTTTAAGGTAGGTCGCATCACTCTTCGTAATTACCGCGTTGTTTACGACCGGCTCGATTGTAAGTGTTGTAAAAGTGCTCGTAGTGATACTATTTTTAGTAATTCCATGTAATTTATTGTTCGGTTTTTTCATGTTCTCTCTCCTCTTGTAGTCATGATTTGTTCCGTTGATCAATGATGAGATGGTTAGTCAAAAGGTGATGTAATTGAGCGTCCAATCGTTGCATAACTCGGCAAGTGTTGATGGATTTATTCGTTTCTGTTTGGAATTTCAAGTAATGTGGGGTTTTCGTCAAGTGAAACGCAGTTTGGATTTGGGGTTTTCTAAATTGACTTATTTTCGGCTCTTTATTAGCGGGTTTTTTTCCAATACTGTCCGTTAAATTTTGGTGTAAAAATCTGTTTTTAAAACGCTTCACATCCGGAAGAACCGATAAATTTGTCCAATTTTAAACGATCTTTAATCAAAGCTTAGGATTTCTAATCAGAGACATTAAAGGAAAAAATGCAGAATTTCTGACCGAACCCAAACATCGAGATCGAAAACCAGCAATTCAAATGGGAAAAGTTTGCATAATTTTATGCGTCTGCTGTGGTAGGTGTTATAACGTCGTCCTTGTAATATTTCTTCTTAAATTAATCGTTTTAGATACTTCAGTTTTCTCCTAAAACTTAATGGATTCACCTTGGTATCGGTCGTAAAATTTACTGCTCGTTTTAGACTGGTTTCAATTATTTAAAGTAGTTGATTTCATGGCAGGACTTCGGGTCTTTAATATTAAACTGTCGTAAGCATATCTCAAGTTTGTTAATGCTTATATGATTTTGCATTATAAATCCATATAAATAAAGCGCGGTTTTAAACAGTTAAATTCATTGATCAAAACCGAAAAAATGGGGTTAACTGCATTAAAAAAATACTTCTTAATACAATGTCCCTCATTCAAAAATGATCCAATTGTTAACTTTTTTAAAACATTAATTTTTTCGCACCTAATATTTAGTAAACGTTTTTTTAAACAAGTCCACTTGATACTACACCTTTAAAGTCCAGTTAATCCGCGGCCAGAAAAGAAAAACTTGTGACTAGACAAATTCCTGACAATTAACAGCGCAAGCAAACGAGCGTTATAATTATAATAATAATAATTGTAAAATTTCACTACAGGTGTCGAATGAAAGAATCTTAATAAATTGTATCGGTGCTGTGCCTTTTGCCGGCAGTAAATTACGAATTAATTGGCAGTGTACTATGTAATTACTTGTTGGATTTCATTTTATGTGTGTGTTCAAACCGGAGGCTCTTTCAAAAGTCCGCTTTCCAACAGAAAATTAATGCATATCAATGGCAACGTGTCGCTTTGTGCGCGATTTTCCCATTATAAATCGCATTAATCGTGCTTTAATTGCTTATAAATAGGCGAAATGCTGGAACAAACGTATGGAAGAGTGTTGTATTTACAATGGATTGAAAAACGTCTTGCGTCAGTAGCTCTGGATAAACTTAATTCTGCCATTCTATTCTTTGAGCAGCTGGATAAAAGTGTCGAAACAAAACCCACACGCCCGTGACGTGTACGCGGGATCGAAATAAATGCTCAGTTTCATTTCGGGCGCTTTCAACCCCAACCCAGCATCCCGTATGCTTCCAGCCTGTTGACGTCACAGGATAAATCTGGAAGCACGCGGCATATATTTTTGAAACAGGAAACAGGTCTGACGTAGTCAGGACTCAGGTGCGTTCACGTGAGCTCCATATCGCTTTTGAGGGATTTAGGAAACTTTGTAGTGCACATAAATGAATGAAGCTCGAATCAGGTGGTTGCGGTGGCGCACTCACTTCTATCAACAACATTTCGTTACGTTAACATTGCCAATGGCCGAATTTACTAAAACAATGATTTCCATTTGCATAAAATCAGATTAAATCAGGGACTTTTCCGTTGAGCTGAGCCTTTTAAATATTCATTTTCGAGCGTGGGTGCCATTTCTGGTTCGCTTAAATCGAGCATTTGTATTTTCAATCAACGGCCGCGATTGCATAATGGGATTTCGGTCTAGGACAAGACAGAAAAACTCGATTTTTTCCCTTCATTCAATTCCCAACCGGTCGTCATATTCCGCTATTTAATCCTGTTAAGGTGATTAGTGAGACTCGGCTGCAGTTTTCCGCTTCTCAGCTTCTTCTACACATTCTTGGTAGACGATGTGACTTAAACGGGATGCTTTACCCGAATGATTTCATTAATTGGGACATCAGCTCATTTTGTACAAAATTTCCATGTTGAAAGGATATACAAAGTGATGGCTATGCAAATTTGGACGAAATATACCAGAACATGTCTCCTAAAAACCGATGACCAAGAGCCGATTAATTGAAACAGTATTTTAAAGCGTGTTGAAAAGACAACGCATCAGAAGAAGTACATCTGATGCATCGTCTAACATACGTGACACGCATAATGAAACAACCCGGTCATGTCTCAAGTCGCATTCGAAAAATTCCCAATGAAGAAGATGAGGGAGAATTTATTGGCCTGTCGCACTGCCAGATCTGGCCCCCATTCAATTGCTTCCTTCGAAGATGAATCGGTAAATTGTGAAATACCTTGACGATTTGTATTAGTCACTTTTAAGGATTTGTTAAGGAGTTAAATTTTAGCAAATAAAATCAGTTGATATTTTTGGCTTTGGACGCAGCTGACAAATAATGAAGTGATTTTGATCTCTCCATGCCTGCTTTGTACACCCAGTATTTTTACTAAAAATGCGAGTAAAAGAGATGTTTTCGAATTAAAATAAAGAGCAATTTTTTTTGTGCAAAAGTAAGAAAAGGAAACTTGAAATATTTTGCTTGCTTTGAAGACACTACGACTTATTTTTCTAGAGACGATTTTTCTCAAAGTCTGGAAGTAAAAATTTTAAAACTTTCAAAAAATAATAAACGGCTGTTGTAACTGGGATGTTAAAAGCTCACAAACTTTACAAAATTGACGCACTTTTCGTCAATGTTTAATACAGACTTGAAATATTTCTTAATATTAATTTTTACATCGCTCAGTAAATTTTAATGTAACGATTTCCGCTTTAYTYTCAAGCSAAAWCCGCCCAAAATTCAGGTTTTGCAAAAAAAAACAAAAAAAAAAAAATAACCGCTTTTTCGAAGGCAGAAAAAATTAAAAGGGTAAATTTTGCATCGCTAACCTTAAAGCGAAMATTATTGTATTTTGTTTAATAAAAATTGTTGCTTAATTCACATGTAGCGGGTGTACAATAAYTTTGTTATTATATCGCTWTTTCTTCGTTCTAAAACTAAATTTCAAAATGTTCTAAAAACATTATTGAAAAATCCAATAAAAATTGATAAACAGGCGCGTTTTTGTACTTGCCTTAYGGAACAATATTTTTAAYATGTAATTCTTCTGAATGTGTTTGATGTTCTTTAAATATATTATTTGACGCGTAGGCGATAGAAAATACGATTTTGAGACTAGTTTCCATTAAAAAATTCCAGTTGAAAGCCAGCATGGAAACGAAAAAATTTAATTAAAATGGAAACAAGATATTGAAAATTTGCTGGGAATGTTAGAAAAGAACCAAAAAAACGGAAGGAATTTTTTGCGTGAAAAAACTGTTTGGTCGGGGGAAGTGTTCTTGCTTTGTAATATGAAGAAGAAGTTTTCGTTTCTAAAAGGTCTGAAACAAAAAACTTGAAAATTTTCATAAGAGTATTTTTTATTTGAAGAACCTAAAGAATCGTTCAGTTTTCGTTGACTTTGGAAAAACGTGTAAACTTTCCAAATTTCGATATTTTTGCTCCTTTAATGCACCAATTTCGGTTATTTTGGCCGCAAAAAAGAGTTAATTAGTTAAGGCGTGTTTTAAAAACCCCATGGTGAGCTGTTGCTAAATAACATGTTCGAATTCAGAAAATGTTGAAAAAGTTAATTTTGCATCGCGAAACCTTTAAATAAATGAGGTCCGTAACTAGCCGAAATTTGTTTAAAAAAAGAGAAATTTTCTCATAAGTATAATTACTGAAGCATAATTATTTAATACATTCTCCTCATAAAAGAAGCAAGTATTTTTCGGCGACTTTGTTGCCTAATTCATATGTAGCCGGAGTACATTATTTCCTGCATTATATCGCAATGTCTCCATTCCACCCATTCTCAATTAAATTTTCAATTATACTATAGAGAATATTTACGAAACAATATTTTTTAAATTTAATTCTTCGGAACGTATTTGTTGTATTTCTAAAAATGTGTTATTTGATGCTAAAGCAATAAGAAAAAAGCCACAAACGTCTAGTTTCCATTTAAAAAAGTTTTCCCGGGTTTTCACGGAAGTGACTTCATCGGATTCATAGCCTTGTAGGGCTTTTACACAAAATTTGATGCCCCGGATTTTCCAAAAAAAAAGGGTAAGAAAAAAAATCGGTTAGTGCGAAAAAGAGCATTMATTTTCCCTTAAAGCCTCAACCATCACCAAATGCAAAACCAGTGGTGTACATACACTTGTTGGGTAGACGGCAGCCGAATCCTGGCGAATTATTGTTCGAATCAGTGGCGTCGTTAAGATCGGGAGCGACAGAGGTTGGGCCCCCGTTACAGGGCGTGCGGCCGGCCCTAAAGAAACCCTCCGGGTGACGAAACGATGCGGAAGGCCGAAGACGCATGTCCCGCTTGGATCATCCTACAGCCACATGCAACAATCAACGGCAAACAACAACGACATGGCCAGAACTAAGACAGTGAACTAGGAACAGCCTACTAAAAGTCACCTGGCGAACAGGGCGAAGCCACGGCTTCCAACAGGCTGTCGGATGGCGAATCCACCTCGAACAGATCGATCAACAGCATTCAGTAGGACTGATCCTACTGATCGACCACCAGATGATAAGAGGAAAGACGTTTTGTTTTGACGAATCAACAAGTGCGAAAGTCTGCGCCACTGATACGGCAGATTTTTGTCCAGGTACTCGCTTGAATGTATCACTAACAGAAGATGCACTAGACGAGAAATTGTCACTCACATCGTCCAGTCCAGACATGTACTGAGCCAGTCGGAAACTGGAAATTGTCGCGCTCACAGCTGCTCGCTCGACTCCCGCGTCCAAAGTCCGGACATTTTCCCCAAAAACCACTCAACTTTCAGTCACTCAATTTTGCGGAAATTTCTCTTTTTCTGCTTCTTCTTGTTGCCGAAGAAGGTTCGCGCGCGATTTTGTTGCGCTCGGCAGTGACGAGTTACTTCGACCGATCGCTGTTCGATCTACCGGCACTTTGTTCCCCTGCCACAACTTTCCGTTCATTATAAACGGGTAAAGCGTCGTGTCGCGTCGCGGCGAAGAGTGACGTCATCGTCGCAGTGATGTCATAGTGCAGCGACGCTCCAGCAGGTCTGCTGGACGCTCTGCTCCACGCTCACACCAATCCAGAATCGATGGCACGGGGTGACTGCACGATGAATCTTCCAGTCCGTTTACAGTTTGCCAGATTTTCGATTTTCCAATTTCTGCAAACCGAAACTTCAAACTTAAACTTAAACCAGCAAATGTTCTCATATATGGAACGCTTCGAAACGTAAATCTGGGTCAAGCGAAGAGGAACTATTTAGAACAGACAATGTATGAGGATCATTCGGACGTTGCCTTAAGGCCGAGTCACATCTATCCGATCCGACTCCGATCCGACTCCGATCAGAGAACCTTCCGTCGATGACCAAATAATCGGAAAGGGGAAGCCACACATGTCATACACGTTTCAGTTTCCGTTGCGATTTTTGGACGAGTGCAAATCACAGATTATCAAACTATTCCTAAGACTAAGTCCAAATGTATTAATTGCCTTTACCGTTTTTCATATAGACACTCGGATGGTTCACTTTGAATATCGAAAACTGATCGCCGAACTGGATATAAGACTTTTGTTTTATGTTTTTAGGCTCTTTTAGGAAACTATAGCTTGCCGAATTAAGCCAAACTAACATGATATTTAAAAATGCTTTGACGTGACAAAAAGACTAGTAGCAAACTAATTGTGCGATTATATAAAAGATAATAATCAGATTAATAGGGATTTGTTTTCCACTCGTATTTCCGGTCCATATGTTAGTTGTTAACAATTTATTGCCAAAAATTCAATGCGATACAATTTTTGTCTTTTTGTTTATAATATTATATAATAATAGAGCAATCGGAATGCCCAATGAGATGATTTGTAGAGAATACAAATGTCTACAAAATGAGGGGTTGAATTAAAACATTAAAACCTGAAGTAGTAAATAAATTTCCATGAACAGTTTATAATGTACACTTTAGTAGTTATTTTTCCAGTATTCCTTGCCAGAGTCCTTACATACAGTTGCTGTGTAAACAGTAATATAAATTAATACTTGCGACGAATCATGTCCATTATTAATAATTGAGTTTGTTTTCCACCAGTAAAATTATGTAAGCCTAATCAAAATATTTAAGTATCTACAGCTTACTGTAG